AGTCTCTCTTAGGAGAATTACAAGTAAAATAGCAAAACGTAGCTAGGTTTCTTTCAGGACCATTTCATTGACATTTCTAACAGAATAAATTAATTTCTACTATGTTTTGCAACTTAAAATTAATACTGTTAGGTTTGCGATCGTGCTCACCGCGATAATAGTGGTTCAATTGCGTATTTTTGTTTGTGCTTGCTACAAAAGCTCAAACGAAAATCTTATAGATATTGTAGAAGAAAATGAAATTATTGCATAAATTAATGAATCCCGTAAAATAATGATACATTTATTTTTGAAAAATATATTTTTACATTATTCATTATGGAAAAAAATGAACTTATCACTATGTTACGGATATCAGATTTTTTTATATTTATTTTCCCCTTCAATTATAAACTGTCCACATTATATTGCAAAAACAACAAAAACGACAACAACAACAACAACAGCAATAATAATAATATTAATAATAATAGTAATAATAATAATAATAATAATGACGGATGTTGTCTGTGATGAGACAAAGTTGAAAATGTTAATAAATATATATAAACCAAAATATATAGCAGAATATAGCAAAATAGCTCAGAATGTTTAGAAAAATAGATATGACTGGGTAGGAACAGCGATATAGTAGGAACTGTGCAAATAATTGTCTATACACAAAAGGAGAAGTAACACCCTGTAAAACATTATAATTCACATATGAAGCAGATGCTTAATAATAATTATCGTATACAAAGGTTAAAAAGAACATTGGCCAAATACTGAACGCCGTCTTCTGACCAAAAATAATAATAATAAAATCTAATCGAGTAAAAGGGTAAAATGTGTGTAAAAATGAGTAAAAGCATATTTCAAAGAAGAAAATACTAGTTGCACCCATCATTACTAGAAAGCTCGGAACACAGGCGAAAAGTTCTGGAAGTGATAATTCTTGATATTCCTAAAAAAAACTACATAAATACTCAGGAAGGTGCTAGTGTAGTGATGAGACATGTTGCAACTTGATATACAGAAAGAGCTATCAAAGATTTCTCATGAAAATAAAAAAAAATAATTATACTCCTAGAGTTAATAATAATGTTAATGTTAGTATTATCCATTTCCCTATAACATTTGATATTCATTGACCGAGCAGCCAGTGCTGCTTACGGGCGTCCTGGGTAAGACGATAAACTACATCCGCGTCCTGGGTAAGATGATAAACTACATCCGCGTTCCGGGTAAGACGATAAACTACATCCACGTCCTGGGTAGGACGATAAACTACGTCCAACAGCAAGGCCTCTGATCAGGAGGTTTTGAGGAGCGTGGAACCACCTCTTAATTGCTGGTATTCCCAGGTCCACCCTGACCCGGGGTGGTAGCATCTGTTGGGGTCCCAGCTAGGGCAAATAATTAACCCTCAAACTGGGGTCAAAGCACTGTGAAAATGTAAAAACAGGTTTTAATACCAGCAATGAAATTTTAGGAACAATTTTTTTAAAGGAAAAAATATTACCAGCAATATATTTTTGAAGGAAAAAAATATTACCAGCAATACATTTTTGAAGGAAAAAATATTACCAGCAATACATTTTTGTAAATAAATATTAGCAGAAATTAAAATCTTGTCAGCATTAAACAACTCATTGAGGTTGATATGATTTAAAACAAAACAAAACCAAACCACTTCGGTTGAAGTTTATAACATTTTTCTCTTGAAACAATTTTTCTCGAAAATAAATTTGTCATGTACATTAGGTTATATCACTTTTCCGAGTATTATTTTATTTTTTGGCGGTGGGTGGGGGTGGAAGAGGGGTCCTTCTTTACCTTTTACTTGAAGTACTATGCAATGCCAACAATAATAACATTAATAGAAATTTCAATAATAATAATATACAAAATGATTGATGTAGTTCAATTTTTTTGTTAAGCATTATGCCCCCCGAACAAGGCGTGAAGCTACTAAGATGCAGTGGGTTGCAGAAGATTTGGAGCGAGAGCAGATAGGAGTGATAGAAGAAAGGATGAGGAGAAGGACAGTGTAGAGATCAAGGTAACTGGAGATGTCGATTGGCATTACTTTTGAATAGTTGGAGATTATAGCTCTCAGGGAAATAGTAATTGGGAAGGGTGTTCCCCAGGCAAGAGGTGCGAGGTATGAAGCTATTGGAGTAGAAGAGACGGCTACATTTAAAAGTTTCTACAGTTAAAGGGTGAGAGCGGGATGCCAGCCTCGTAGGGCGCTTGAATTCATGAAGTCTGGGAACCAGTGAAAGCAGCTCATCGGAGCAATTACCATGCAATTTCCAACACTTAGAGAAAAGTGCGTTTTAAGAAAAGAATGTTTGACCATATTTAAGAACATTTCGATAGTATGTCGGTTTTGTTTAGGTTATGTTTAAAAATTGCATGCAAGTATAGTAATACTTTAAAAATCTGCAAAATATTACCAGTTCAACCGTTTTTCTCAAGACAAGCGACATTTGTACAAAGATTTATCATTTTTGGTAGATTTTTTTAAAAATATTTTTATACTTGTATACAATTTTTAAATATAACTTTAAGAAGACAGACATACTGTCAAAATATTGTTGAACATTGTCAGTCACTGTGTTTTTCTTTTCTTAAATCATGCTTTTCTGTAAGTGTCGAAATAATTTCAAGTGTAAAGTGAAAAGAACTAGAACTTGCTAAAGGACTAAAAACATATGAAACGTGAAAGTGACAGACGTGCCAATCGTTATGGGAGAACTGAGAACGGTCCCAGAGTGCCGAGAGACAACAACATTAAAAAAGACTGCTGTATATTAGGATAAATGATTGAAAGAATGATAAGACTGCATTACAGACAAAAAAAACTAAAAAAAAAACAAAACAAAAAACAAAGTGAAGATATTGAAAAGACTGCTGGAATCTTCACTTCCGGTGAAAACAAAATGTTATTACTGAAGCGAAGACTTTAACGATGAATAATAATAATAATAATAATAATAATAATAATAATAATAACAACGTATCTTTGAAGATATTCAAAAAGCAGTCAAAATACAAGGACCTTGAAATAGAAATCTCAAAAATGTGGCATATGGGAACATCAACAATCCCTGTTGTAGTTGGAGCCCTAGGTCTGGTTGGAAAAGATTCAAGTAGAGTAATTGAAGGGATTCCTGGAAGTCCATGCCTCAAAGAGATACAAAAAATTGTTCTGACAAGTATAGCCCACACTTTACGAAGAGTTTTATCGATGTATTTTTTTTTCAATGGAAAGTGTTATTATGCCATTTCTAAACTTAGGTCCCTGGGCGGGACCCGGAAAGAAATCTGTAAACGCCAGAAATCAAAGAAAATAATAATAATAATAATAATAATGATAATAGACAATTTTCTGGGACTTTACAATACGCAGAGACAGAACAATCAAAGTTAATCGACCAGACATCGACCACAGAAACAGAATGTGTTTTCTTATTCTCCCTGTATATTGTAATGTATCTTTGAAGATCTTCAAAAAAATTTCAAAATACAAGGATCTTGAAATGGTAATCTGCAAAATGTGGCACATGAAGACATCAATAAAACCAGGGGTGGTTGAAGCTCTCGGACTGATTGGAAAAGGTTTCGATAGAGACACATTGAATGGATTTCTGGCAGTCCATGCCTTAAAAACTATAGACCAATTACATGAAATACAACAAATTCATTTTAACAAAAGCATTTCTTCTTGATCTCAAAACATTACGAAGAGCTATCTTATTAATAGGATGATCCTGGATGCTAAAAAAAAAAAATCTTAGTATTGATCTTTCTTTCTTTTTTTTCTTTTTTTACAAAAATTGATCAGTAGAAGATATCAGAAAGCCATTAGAAGACCTTAAGTCTCTGGTTACGGCCTGGAATCAAATGCCTATCGAACAGAAATCAAATGAAATTGTAATAATAATAATAACTTAATAGGTTTATGAAGCTTGTTATTAATGGCTATTATTCTGGACCACGTGATATCGGTCCAATATGTCGCCCAAGTCTTTCTTCTCGGTTATAATCCTTTTCTGCTTCATACTATCAGCTTAAAAAGATTAAAAATATATGCATAAGTTACAGTTGTTTATAGGCACACCACCAAAATCAAAATTATCAGACACTGGCAACTGTTCCCTATTTTGACCTAACACAAGCAACTCCATAAAGGGGAAAAAAAAAACTAGCTTGTCATTTTACATACATCCTGAGCCAAACCAGTAATGTTTCATCACCAGAACGGACGTTGATATGGAAGTAAACTTTTTCACTAGCACAAAATATCATACATAATAATGACAAATACCAAGAAACAATAGACCATCTAATCTCAGGATACTTTGAATAAAACTGGAACTCAATACTGCTGCAGAAATCAGCGACAATGGTTTAGAGAGATACCCTTCATGAAAATCGGATGATAATTTGGGTGTCAAAATCCAAACAAAATAATTAACATTGATAGTACTTCCGGTTAGATAAATGGACAAACCCCAGCTTAAGAGACATACAGAAAAATTAAGTACAGCAATGAAGGAGAACTTTGTCTATATAGTTATATATATCGGAGATAAAAAAAAAAAAAAAATTACATGATATATATATATATATATATATATATATATATAATCGAATGAATAAATAATAATAATAATATATTTAGAATACAAAATAATAGATGAGACTGGTATAGATAGAAAAAAAAAAAAAACAGGTAGATAAATGAAGAAGACACACACAAACCACACACACACACACACACACACACATTGAATATATATATATATATATATATATATATATATATATCGAGAGAGATAGAGATCAGAGAAGAGAAAGAGAGAGAGAGATGACGATCGACATGAATCGATAGATATTTAGAATATATATATATATATATATATATATATATATATATATATATATATAGATGAATAAAATTACACTGATTTAGAATATATCAACGGATATTGATTTTACATTGGTATAATGTTTCACAGAACGGACGTTGAAGAAGAATAGATAGATAGATAGATATGAACTGAACTGAGGTATATATGAAGACAGATGATTTGGGTGTCAAAATAAACAAATAATTAACATTGATAGATAGATAGATAGAACATATAGATAGATAGATAGATATATATAGATAGATATATAGATAGATATATAACAGATATGAGATAGATATATATAGATAAGAATATAGATGAGACTGAGGTATATAAATGAAGATAGATATATATATATATATATATATATATATATAGATAGATGAGATGAATAGATATGAATAGATATGAGATATATATATATATATATATATATGAACAGACTGATTTAGTATATATGAAGATATGATAGATAGATAAAAATAGATAGATAGATATATGAACAGACTGAGGTATATATGAAGATAGATATGAACAGACTGAGATAGATAGATGAATATATATGATAATAGATAGATAGATAGATAGATAGATAGATGAATGAATATGAACAGACTGAGATAGATAGATAGATAGATAGATAGATATGAATAGATGGATGAATATGAACAGACTGAGGTATATATGAAGATAGATAGATAGATAGATAGATAGATAGATAGAACAGATGAACAGACTGAGATAGATAGATAGATAGATATGAATGAATAGATATAGATAGATAGATAGATGGATATGATGAACAGACTGAGATAGATAAATATATATATATAGATAGATAGATAGATAGATAGATAGATATGAACAGACTGAGATAGATAGATAGATAGATATAGATAGATAGATAGATAGATAGATGAGATATATGAGATAGATAGATAGATATATATATATATATATAGATAGATAGATAGATAGATAGACAGACTGAGATAGATAGATAGATATATATATATATATATGAACAGATATGAGATGAGATAGATAGATAGATAGATAGATAGATAGATAGATAGATAGATAGATAGATAAAAGAAAAGACATGAATAGCTAGATAGATAGACAGATGCTGAACAATTATCCTTGTATCGCTCTGAAAAATACATGGCCTCTTCTATTATTTCTATGTTAAAAAGAGTCAGATCAGAGCACAATCAAATATTGTTTCCATATCTATGTTGTAGCTACCTCATCTCTCCTTTCCAGCTTCATTTGCGATGACTTATCCGCATTCCACCTACTTTTCCACATCACAAGTCTATCGCTATTTCCATGGCAATTATTCAGACCAGTTCCATTCCATGTTGCCGCCATTTTCTATGCAAGATATATATTTGTTATCCACAAGAACGAATCATTTTTTATTTATTATTTTGGGATGACGTACATTTCACTACCAATACTTTTTCTTAAGAACCATTACTTTGTGAAACAAACTCCCATATGGATGTTTTCTAGAATACTAAATATCTTCAATTCTAAACATCATATCCTCATAATCATCACTTTGTACTTTCACTTTCTACGTTCATATCACATACATCATCCAGTAACGATCTACCTTGAGCGGCTCTTGCTCCTTGTATTAATAAGAAAAGGGTTAGTGTCTGGTGCATCACTGTTCATAGAGTAGTAGGGAGTATCATAGTGTATAGAGTATTTTTTTTTAAGATTGAAGCAGCGCGATCGATTTGGGACTCACATCTAGATACTCGGACACACCCTTAATCCAAGACCAACTGACCAGACTGTTTTACCCCACCTGAAGGTATTTCTTACTCTGTCAAAACCTGCAAGGTCATGTGCTTCTTTTTATCAAAACCTGTGCCGTAACGCGCATATTTGGCTGTGATGCATGTAAGGGTTATACACTCATAAGACTGGATGTCACGATGCCTAGATTAATCAACTGATTGATTTTTTGCTAGGAAAGTTTGTTCCCTGTGTCCTACGAGACAATTTGTCTTACAAATTTACAAGAAATACACTGAATATTTTTGCCATCTATGTTTTAGTGTCTCTGCTATATATTTAGAGACTATTGAGAAAGTCTAAAGAAGTATTTGTAATATTATCAGTGCTGACATTGCATCTTGGTTAGTGATTCTGGTATATATCTAGAGATTCTTGACAGTCTAAAGAAGTATCTGGGATATTATCAGTGCTGACATTGCATCTCGGTCAATTTACCACCATCGTTATGGAGCTTCATCGTACCTTTTCTATATTTATTTCCATGAGAATTCTTCTGATTAGCTTTCCTTTCTTAGTATCTCAACCTCATGAATCTAAGTCCGGTACTAGATTGGCTTCTTGGTCTCACTTTCTTTATGACTGAAACCGCTATATTTAACCATAAGTTCTATTCGAATAAATTTTCGCTTGTATTTATCGCTTGTGGAATTCATTATCAACTTCTATATTTCTTGTCAACTAAAATCTTCCAAAATTTAAATGCAACATCTATCATCATCACCGGTCTACTTAATATCTATTCTTTTACTGACCTTTCTAGTTTCAGTTTATTTAACTGTCAGTTAGTGGCTTTATCGCCTTTCTTGAGGTAAAATGATTAAAAAAGATTGAGTTTCAGATATTTGTTCCCGAGCGTCACTCTAGCCCAATAATAATAACAATAATAATATAAATGGAGGCGCCACTCGTATCCGAGGATACCAGTCAACTAGGTTAGCTAATCCCCATTGCAGACGTCTGCTCAGACAGATTTGTGTTTGTTCAACACTTACAGAGACTAGTTCTGGTTTATGCTAGAAGAAGGCTAGGTAACGCGCTCTCTCCTGGGAGAGTGCTTTATATAGCGTGATCAACGGTTTGAACCTCGGTCACGATGACTTTTGACTTCGTACCCCCAAAGATTTCATTTTCACTCTCAGGCACTTTGCAAAGGTGCCGCACACTGAGATAACATCAAGAAGTCATCTTCCTTCCAAATCGACCATAGTGAGATTCGAACCCTGGTCTCATGGTCACAAAGTGAACTTTCTAACCACTTGGCCACGTGTCTATTAACAATAACAATAACAACAATAGCAAAAACTTCAAAAAATTAACAAATAAAACAAAAATTTATTATTAGATATATTCGAATATTTCCAATCATTTAGCAAGTTGGCAATTACCTTTTTCTTAAATATAAAAAATTGATGGTCATCGTTTAGACTATGGGTTGCAAATATTTTTCGCTTTGTTTATCTCAATTTTTTAATTGGAAGAATAAAAATCTGAAAGTAATTTTATCTGAATTTCTTGGATTACAAATTCCGTTACTATTTCATCTTTGTTGTTAGTATTAACACGTTTCAGTCGCTATGCACACCAGACTTCATCAGGTATCAGTCGATCTGATTAAACATCAAGGGTAATTTTCTGGATAATTTAAGCAGTGTTTATTGAGTTAGTTCGAATACAAATTGTGAGTTCTTCTCAGACACAGTCGAACCATTAGTAACATTAAAATAATATTACTGAAAGGTTGATTTATTGATTCGAATTTTACTTCTTAACAACATTTTAATGTTATTTAAAGCTAGGGAATATTTTGAAATTCTAAGAATTTTTTTTTGAGATAATAAAAGATTTACTGATACATATCTCACTAATTAACCCATATCTGGGGGAGAAAGATTGATTCATATATTTATCAATGGCAATTGCCCGTAAGCAAACATACCGAATTCAACTTTGTTCTCGGCTTTCTTGATTAAAAATTCGGAGCCATCCAAGCTTATATCACTTGGTATTTCCATGTGGTCACCGATGAAGATACTAACCAGGCTCGATGTTGCTAAAAGGACAATTAAGCAAACACGGGATATCCCTAGATATGGACTGTGGAAATAGAAATAATATATCCTCCATAGTGAATGAAGAGATAAATTCACCAGACGCCAGAAGATGTCCGGCGGGAAACACAGTCGATATTTTGTGGTTGTATTATTAGTATAAGTTATCAGTCAGCCTTAGTTTACAAGCTATTTACTGTTAGGAAGAATAATGCTTTTTAGCTTTCCAGTAGTATACCGAGTACTAATATTAGCATTAGCGTAGCCATTGACACACTAACACTGAATACGAATATAGAATAATTATTCATACTGTCCAAAGAACGAGTATGTTTACAGAACGAGAACAAAGAAATAACATAACAGCTTTATGGCCTTTGATCATCCGTAACTAAGTGAATCGAGATTACTTTTTTTCTACACGTTAGTCTGTGCACATGTTGACCTCTTTCCCCGTGTGTGGACGCCCTGGTCGTCGCTAAGGTAAAAGAGACCGTTCCTCAAAAGAACGAAAGCAAAAAAGAAAAAAAAAAGGACAGAAGAATTCTCTCTAAAGGGGCTGAAATCCCATGAACTCAACCGAAGGGAAAGCAACTGTGATCTCCCTACAGTATGAACAAAGATGTGGATTTTCGATTGATTGTAAATAAAATTGATTGTAAATAAAATGACCTTTAGTAAACGACATTAAGTTTATTAAAAGGCCAATCACACTTGTAATCTAATCGAGGCAATCGTTGAACTTATCATTTATATGCCATATACTATCAGAAAGGTTAATCACTGCCAACTGCCTCAGAGTTTTTATAGTAACAAAACGACGTTAATCCAATTGTAAATATAGTGGGATTAATGTCCTAGTTAATTGCATAAAATATCAGAAACGGGTAATAATTAGAAATTGAAACAAAAATCGCTTCACTTATGTTGCGGATCATTATTAACAAAAATGTTTTAACCCTTTTTATATATATAACCTTACCCTGACTTGACCTCTTTGAATGTAACTGAGATAAAATCACCTTGTAGGACTTGCCTTTTTAACTTCTAAAAGGAGGGCCGGTTTAGCCTCAAGATCCCCGGTGCCAAAAGAACTGGCAATATTCTGTCTTGAATGACACCATGAACCACATTTTTGAGATGGTGGGGAGTGATAACCACAGCAGCGGTGCTAAATGCGCTGAGTTAAATGAATGAAGACCTGAACAATGTTAGGAAAAATAGTAACAAAATGGAAAAAAAAATAGTTTAAAATTTCGGTCTCCTTACTCCTTCATGTGCATGTGTAGAGTTACATCAACATGTTTCTCATTTAAGTTCAATGAAGTCCTCAAGGACGAAACGCATCACACGAAATTTTATTCTAAATTGTCATTAATTTTCTTAATATTAGAAAATGTAAATTCAAATATAATCGGATTTATAATTTTGATAACAATCTGTAAAAGGACAAAATGTGTTAAACACATAATTATTGCGAATTTAGTTTAATTCAACAAATATTAACGAAAATATAAGTAGAAAATCAAGTGATAACAAAACAAGTATTTGACTATAAATCGAAAATTGTATGACAACCGCAAGTTGTCATACAATTCAGGAAGTTAAACGGCTATCATGTCTTTTGGGATGATAAAGTTTTCTTGCATAAAGATTTGATTCGATTAGAACAAAAAGACATACACTCTTGTGAAAATTAATTGAAACAAAACAAAAACAAATCCATCATTATTTGCTCTTTTTTCGTATTTTTTCAATGAAGTATGACCCAGTATACATGTTAGCATTTCCTATGTCAATTCCACGAAGTCGTTCCTTGCAGACTGACCAAAGCTTGGATTTAAATCAGAAGAGATTCCTGGCCAGCCTATAATACTTTGATTTGCTCACTGGTAAGATTGGCAGTGTGTTTGTGCAGCGTTACAATTTTCGTGCACTTCCTTACAGTAACATCGACCGTAGACAATGACTGTAGGACAACTAATCGACAGTCGTGACAATAGTGTCTTGGCGTGATAAAAATTTGATGCCATCACGGATGACGCAAAATTTTTCGAGGCCAAACAAATATGATCATACACCCCGAAAATAGATTCATATTTCTGCACAACATCACAAATGACCTAATCTGAGGAATAAAAAAAGAAATCCATTACACCCTGTCAATCCAGTGGTCCTAAAACTGACCGTATGGTGAAAGAAAGCAAACTAAAGTGGTTGTTTCGATTAATTTGCACAAGGGTGTATGTATATGTCTGTTCTCTTTTATATTGTATCTCTTCAGGCAATTATGTCTCTCCGCGATTTTCTATCATGTGTGGCTACCGCCCTCATCCTGACACTCATTTAAATGACTCGCTACTTTTACCTATCTGTATCGCCCTCGCTAAGTTCCGTGAGAGTTAAGTTTTCCAAGTCGTCTTTCATCATTATGTTCCCAGAGAATTTCACCTCTCACTTCGTCATTTTGAATATAATTGTTCTTTCTTTTCTTTTTCCCTTTTCTTTAAGACTTGTTTATTCGTCATCTCCATGGAATTTTCAGCACCCTTCTGTAGAACCACATTTCTGATACTTGTCTTTTTGATTTACTTGATTCGTTTTCTATGTCTTATGGGATGACAAAGTTTTCTTGCATAAGGATTTGATGCGAATTAAACAAAGAGACAAAATTACCCTCATAGTTGTTAGGTGGGAAAATTGATTTAAGGACAAAAAAGCATCAGATTAAATATGTGCTAAAAGACAAGAAAACATCTAGAAATGATTTCACGCTAATTCATCCTTCTTGGTATCTCGAACGAATGAATTTAAACGTGCTACTAGATTGGCTGTTAGGTCTCATCGTTTTCATGTTGAACTATCTTGTACGTTCCATTCTAACAGTTTCTTTTCTCGCACTTTTCGACTCCGGAAATCTACCGTTTGCAGTTTCGTTGCCATCTATGTTATTATAAAATTCAAATGCAAAGCCAATCGCCATCTCTTATTTCTTTAATCCTGCCCTTTTATTGTCCTTTCTTCTCTCTAAACGATTCTTAATTTCCTTACTCCCAGTCACACCCCGATTGCGTCTTAGTGGCATTATCGATTTACTTGGTGTGTGATTTTAAAAGTATTGATTTGAATTGATAGATAGATAGATAGATAGATAGATAGATAGATAGATAGATAGATAGATAGATAGATATGAATAGACTGAGATAGATCGATAGATAGATAGATTTTTCATTAAACTTTCTAAGGTTTATATTTTTCATTAATCCCATTTTTTCTTATTTATATTAGTACCAAAGGAAGAGCAAGTCCTCGCAATCACTCAAAGAGAGGTAGAGGTTGATTTGAAATATTTCTTAGATAGATAGATAGATAGATAGATAGATAGATAGATTGATAGATTGATACATAGACAGATAAATATGTACAGATTGAGAAAATAAATAAATAGATAGATAGGAACAGATAGATGATTCATTAAACTTTCTAATGTTCCTATCATGCACTACACTTTATTTTCTCATTTCCATTAGTGCCATAGAAAGAATAAACCCTAGTAATCGCTCAAAAGAGTGGTAGATCAAAGATTTATTATACCAATATTCAAGCAATGCTACCAAATTTAACGGGTTCTTCTTTGGAATTTTTTTGGAAAAGCTAAAGTGATTCCATCACCTAACATGAAGGTTAAATAACAGCTGGCCATCTACAATATCAGAAGTCTAAGATCCTAGTAAGAGCACAGATAGATAAAGAGAGATAGAAAGAGAGAAAATGAGTGAGAGAGGGAGAAAGAGAGATAGAAAGAGAGAAAATGAGTGAGAGAGAAAGAAAGAGAGATAGAAAGAGAGAAAATGAGTGAGAGAGAGAAAGGGACTTTCATTCAAGTGAAAACACTGGTGATCAAATGACAGAAAGACAGAATATTAGCAACAAAATGAAATATTTTACGTTTTCTTTTTCTTTTTTTCTTTTTTTCTTTCTTTTTTCTTTCTTCAAACACACTTTCATTTCTTTCTTTCTTTCTTTCTTTCTTTCTTTCTCCTCCTGCATTTCGGTAAACATTTCTTTCCTCATTATTTTGTGGATTAATTCCCTTTCTCTGGTTCGCCTTCTCCTATTTTATTTATTTCTTCCTCATTGTCTTTCTATTTCTTTTGCTCTATTTTTTCTTTCTTTTTTTATTTCTTTCTTTCTTTTCCAGATATTCTTATCGGTGCTTTTTATTTCTTATAAATACTCGGTCGACGTCTTCTTCGACCTTCCAGTAATCTTTGACAGTTGTCTACTCTTTAGTTAATTTCTATCCAGTCTCTCAGTTGGAGGAATTTAGCTGCAAACTTAAAAAAAAAATATGAAAATTAAAAACAAACTTTGTCATTTGCTCCGACTGACCAGAATCAGGAAGGAGGATTAAAAAAAAATATTCGATATTCTGTATTTTATTTGCATTAGCTTTCTTTTTTTCTTTCTTTCTTTCTTTCTTTCTTTCTTTCTTTTCTTTCTTTCTTTTTCTTTCTTTCTTTCATTTTCCTTTCTTTCTTTTCCTTTCTTTATTTCTTATTTTTTTCTTTTTTCTATTCTTTTCTTTCTTTTTCTTTCTTTTTTCTTTTCTCTTTCTTTCTTTCTTTCATATTTTCTTTCTTTTTCTTTCTTTTTTCTATTCTCTTTCTTTCTTTTTTCTTTCTTTCTTAGACCCCTCTTCCTACTTTATATTCTTTCTTTCTTTCTTTCTTTCTTAAACCGCCTCTTCCTACTTTATATTCTTTCTTTCTTTCTTTCTTTCTTTCTTTCTTTCTTTCTTTCTTTCTTTCTTAAACCGCCTCTTCCTTATTTCTTTTCATTTTTAAAACACTCATCAATTAATCCATTCTTTCTTTCTCCATTTTTCTTTCATTCATTCTTTCTTTCCCTCTTTCCTTCTTTTCGTCAATCCTTCTATTATACATTATTACGATGCTGTTACGTTTGGAGGCTTTCTTTTATTTTTTTCCATCGTTCATTTTTTATCTTTTCTTCTAGTCATTCGTTAAACAATCTATTTTCCCCTCTTTCTTTCTCAAATCTTTTATCATTTCTTTCATTGGGAACACACATACACACACCCACACACACACAAAGAGAGAGAGAGAGAGAGAGAGAGAGAGAGAGATAACTTCATTTATGTGGAACTCCTGGCGAATATAAAAAACATTAGACACAATCGCCAGAGAATGAAGCAAATACTATAAGATCAACCAATACCAAACGAAATATAAAACTCCATAGAATGTTACCAACAATGTCGAATATGTTGTGTTTTCCAGACGAAAAAAAAAACAAAAACAGAATGTATGTATCCTTCGAGGAAACTATACAAAAATCTGCCTGTCATGCAAATTATTGATAAGATAGTCTCATGGGCTATCAGTTCGCATTCATGTGATCATTTGCAGACTGAGTTAAGCTTTCAAAATTATATTTAAATCCAATGTTAAAACAACAGTTTTTACATCTTGTTTGATGTTGAATATACGAAATAGCTTGAGATTTATTTTGTCAAAACGTAACTAAATTACATGCTGCGTCTTTGCAACGGTGACATCCCGGTCAATAGGTTTTGTTTGCATCTTTTTTGAAAATAATACACCAATTGAATATATATAAACATAAAATTGCCTTAATATATATATATATATATATATATATATATATATATATATATATATATTTTTTTTTTAAGTACATTAAAATAAAACATGCTTTAATTTCCTATAATAAATAATTTAAAACTCTATTCTGTATTGAGCTCCATTTTGAAATTAAATGCTGCGGACAGTGGGATTATACTCCATTTGAGGTTTAACAGTATATGAGATATTCTGTATTTTATTTGCAGTAACTGAAGAGAAATTATGTCAATGTGTTGTAGTAGGATCCATCTAATTTGCATAGTGGAGTACCGACCATATAAATATGGTTGGTATCGGGAAGAGAGGGAGGAATCAAGAGATTCACTCTCAGTCGAACTCTGCATTTTGCAGTGAGGGACCCGGACGAGTCTTTGCCGAGAAGCAGGGTTTCGTCCGGGGTGATAGACAGGCCTTGAACCCGTATAGGCGGGTTCAGAAAGGCCATATTTTTGGCCGAGCCTACGGGCTCGCAGATACCCACTTTAAACCGGCCTTGTGCCACATTTTATCCTCGTGGGTGGATAGATAAATACAGGAATCAAGAGATTCAACCACAGACTCTGCCCGACTGCGACTAAGTCAACACATTCTCCAGGAACGGTCTTACCAGGAATATACAAAAGACTATATGTAAATATTGTGTACACTTTCTTGTTTCAATACATTTTGTTCTAAGTACATTTTGTGTTGCATTATTATTCCATGCATTAGTCAAGTTTCAACACAATGCTAAATCCAATTTTATGGCCAGCTTCGGCGTTTCCCATATGATTTTTAAACATAAATTAATTTCGGATCTTAAGTTCTACAATACCACGAAAACTACGAAGAAAAGATTTCATTAGAGTAGTGTTTAAGTGCTAGGATATTAATATATAAAACCGATACCCATTCCTTCCCGGGTTTTTGAACAGAAAAGAGATTTATTTCTTGGATTGGGTTTCTGGTTCCTTTTAAAGACTTCACATTCTCCTTTACTCCCAGTAGCCGCCTTGCATCTTAGTGGCTTTAACTCTTTCTTCGGGTGAACTGATTAAATAAATAGTAATGACAAATAAAAAAAAATCACTTATATATTTCTAAACCCATTTCGTTCCTTCCGCTATCATGTATTATTCATTCATCCATTTTTTATATTGCGAAATTGCTGAATAGAGTGACAGATATCCACTTAGCGTTACAATGAATGGATATTCTTAGTGAACAGATATATATGAGCGAACCATTTATGAACCAATAGATTTTTTTTAATAAACAGAGACAAGAGATTAATTAATGAAGCCAGCAATATGATTGGCTGTAAAAAGTTCATGTATACAAGGAAGATCGAAGAGTGGGATACATATGCAAAATACATTAATAAACAAAAAAAATATTCCGAGAATTTTAGTTGACTGAGCAAGAAATGTGCTTGGAAATAAAAACAAAACGAAGCAAGAATGTAACTGTATTATTTAAAGAAAATATAATATTCTCAATATATTTGTATTTCTTACTCAACTTTCCCGCATTTTATTTTAATTAGAAATATGAACAAAGTTTGAAGCAACGCACACACACACACACACACACACACTCACACACACACACACACACACACACACACATAAACATTATAACTTATACGAACGCTACTTAACAAGTCAAATGCACGTGAAACCTGCTTAACGAATGAGAATGAAAAAACACAAAAATAAAAATGCCATATCTTTTTCCATATTTCATTCTCACTGTCATATTTTAGGTATATAAATATCTATTCATTCTCCTAGGATCCGTATTTAATCTGCATTCGACCCCAGTTCACATATATAGACGTACATATACATCCCCCCTATATATATATATATATATATATATATATATATATATATATATAAAAATTGACAATAGGAAAACTGTAGTTATTGCTGACGCGTTTCGTCCAATGTGGACTTTCTCCAACATCGTCCACCTTGGACGAAACGCGTCAGCAATAACTACAGTTTTCCTATTGTCATTTATATTTATAAATATTGTCTTTTCTACAGGTTAACTCTGAGAAATTTTCATATATATATATATATATATATATATATATATATATATATATATATATATATATTCTGTATTTGGGTAGGAATCTCACTTTCATGCAAGTTTAGCTCAAAAGAAAGAGATGTGGTTAAGTTTTTTTCTATATAAGTTATCATGTGTTCGTAGATATTTTTTCTTTTCAAGCGTTTCGACTATTGTTTTAGGCATTATCAAGGAAGATTTTTTTTTTTTACTTTTAACTGAATATATTGTTTGAATAATGTATGTATCTAGTGTTAGAGAAATGATTTACTTTCGAAACACGATCAGTACATTGTGGCCGTGGTAATGGTCGATATTATTGTGTGTTAGCTTTTACCTTTATTTCAATTATTAATGCTTCCATTAATTCTATCCTTTTGTTCATGTGGAAGATGCTATCATATATATATATATATATATGTATATATATATATATATATATATATATATATATATGTGTGTGTGTGTGTGTGTTTGTGTATATAGGTTTTTTCACCAGCACATTAGCTTGTAGACATAAGACACACTATTTA